AACCCAGAACAGTGCCAGGTACATTGGATTCATGCATTTTCATCCATAATTTATTATAATTAACAAGGTCAAATGCACGACTCAAGTCGAGAAAGCAGGCGTAAACAGATGTATTACGTCTTTTATAATAGTTTACAACGTGCTTAACGGACAGTATTGCAGAGTCGGCAGAAACACCGGCACGAAAGCCAAGCTGAGAATCACTTATCCCAATATTTTAGATAGACGGACGATAGCTGGAGATATTAGAGAGGTCACCGGTTTTGTTCTTAACGACTGGTACAACAATCGTCTGTAACATTTTATCAGGCAGATATGTATGTTTAATACATAGGTTAAAAAGTAATGCTAGATAATCAAATAGTTAGTTATCACTGGCATAGAGAAGGTGCTCAACACTCAAGCCATCGTGGCCCGGAGACTTTCCTCGCTTCATATTATGAACTACTTTTATGATATCACTAGCACACAAGGACAAAACCTCAGCGTTGGAGATTGTCGATTGAGCATAGGGAATACTCACCACGTGCACTGGTTTAATTGAAAAATGATTAGCAAACATGTTAGCTATGTCCTTTTTGTCATTAATCTCATTCACGCTAACTGGCAAGCTACTACGTATGTTGCAGGCTTTTGTCGCTTTCCAAAAATTTGCAAAATGTTTATTTGCTCTATGAGTGGCAAGTATGTGAACATACTTATTATTCTTATCATTTCTCGATTATTTTGGTACCATTTTAATTTATTTTTAAAACCCATACGCGTTGTTGTCATATCGTTATCAATTTTTCTGTTAAACGGTTTTCCAGCATTTATACTCGCATATTATACAGCATAATTCTCGCACATGGTAGTTCCAGCCAGTGACCTGCCTCTTACAATTTCGGCGACCTTTCGAAGCATCAGACGCATTAAATTTACCATTCATAGATTTACACCTACCGCAGGACATTCCATTTACATTAATTACATCAGAACATTGTAAAGTATTAATAATATAATTATCTATCATATCAATAAAATTTCGAGTACATTTTTTTATCACAACTAAAATTATCACAATTTACACAGGGACTAGATTTCGGTAAGCCTAAAGCCCTTTAAAGCTATGCCGCAATTTCTTCCAGACAACCTAAATAGGAAATAAAAATAAGTAATAGGTTAATTAATGGGTAGAGTGCACTAAAAATAATATTAGCTATAATATAAAATATGAAGGTAAATTATTAAACATGCCGGAAATTACTTAATTGACAGACTAGTGATCATAAAACGGCGTGAAGGAGGAATCAAAGAATGAGGGAGAATTTAGAAGGAAAGATATATAAACATATTGCATAAATACTTACATCCAATCGTTGTGAAATTCTGTCAAAAATATTTTTTCTGTTTTGCGGTCCAAATTGTAAAACTTTTTCTCTACAGCATTATGTGACAAACGAGCTATTTTTGTCACACAGTGCTATAGAAAAAACACGGACCGTATCTGATGGTAAGTGGATGCTGTGGCCCATAAACATCTACATATATCCTCAATTAACAATCGAAATACAGGTGCGTTTTCATCCCTGAGGACTGAGATGGAATGCCTCGATTTCAGTAAAATGGGTCTCTGGTTCTTTACACTTACGATATGAAACACAGCAGCATTAAGCTGATATTTTACGCTAGTATTCCGTGAGAGCGTGGTGCTGCCCCGGTCGAGCTGACTCATTCGTGCTACAACCATAATATAGCTGCAACGTGACTCTAATACCTGTAGGTATAACACAGATATTACTTATTAAATATTTAAGATAATTTAGTAAATAGTACTTGAAGTTTATACGACGAACACAGTGTGGGGCGACCCAATTCTAATAAGAGTGAAATCTTGGTAGAAAGTCAACGGATACAGGTGGCTCTGGCCTGTTTTTATAGACGTCTCTCAATTAGGTACATATGTACGTTAACATTCTAAGCTCTCAATTAATATCTGTATATATAAAATCGTTGCTGCATCTTAAAGATCGTGGAGGACAATTGCTCGCAATTCATTTGATTTGTCGAGAGGATGGTTCATAACTATGCTGGAGGATTCGATAGGTGACGCTGTAGTCTACCGTTACTGTTACAGCCTATTAAATTCCACCGCTGAACATGGGCCTCCTCAATAGATTGCCTCATAGGGATCTATTTACCATATTTGCCACTTGCCACTTGCCACGGTTAACAAGCGGGTTGGCAACTGCAGTTTTTTATTTTTAATCTTTATTAGGAGACGCTGTTACCCATCTCCTGATTCGTTACCCCCCTGTCGCTTCTTACGAGACCCATGGAATGATACGGGGTAGCGGATATTATTACACCGCTACTACACGGTACTCTAGTTAGTTATTGATAAATTTTATATTTATAAATAAAAAATAATTTAAATGTTTTATTTTTCAGGCATCGTAGGCCCATAGCATATTAGTAATACAAATAAAACTTAAGAACTAGTGTTAGTACACGAAACGATGAAATAAACACAATAGAAATAAAACAAAATAAAAAATTCCCAAAATGCGTACAAATTGATAGATTTATCAAGCTCAAGTTAGTAAATTTACATGGTAAAAATTCATGGATAGTAAAAAGTCCAAAGGGAATTTGGAGTGAAACACATCGTGCCAACGGAAAGAGCAAAACAACGTCTGCCGAGCCCGCAAAAATACAATAAAATAATAAAATTGATTGTTTTTTCATATAATTAATACACACATTAAATAGTATTGAAGCTCTGCAACCCGTAAAAGTTAATTACTGTGTTATAGGTATTTAGGTAAGTTATATACGTAGTAAATATTACTTCAAAGGCTACAGAATACAGCGTCTTTCCCGTTTTTAGTGTCACATCATGTTACTAAGACAAAAAAGACAAATTTTAAAAGTATTAGAAAAATTCTAAAATATAAAAACTTACACGTGATAAAGAGAAAAATTTATAATAAAATATGTAAATTAAATGACACAATGAGGAATATGTACAGAAGTGTATATACTCATTATGTTTTTTAAAATAAAAACATAACATAAACACTCACGTCTGTCACCTAGAGGGGTAGGCGGAGACTACGGACTTACATTTGACACGAACCTTAACACACATTTAAATAAATATAACATCATGTCGACTCAGATTAAATATTTATAGAATATTGGCCTAACTGTTGGGCTTATCATTGGGCCGATATCCTCGCACTGATAATGCTGTTATACTAATTGTTTTGTTGATTAATACCTGTACGTTGGATCTGGGCATTGGTGTAGCCAACATTTTTTCCGAGGACAAAGCGAGGTCAAGCTCAACCCTGTTGACACACTGTTAGAAAGTGTTGGATTTTTTTCTTTTGTGAAGATATCGGAAGCTACCGAAAAGAATTTTTTTTAACGTCAAAGAAATTAATGACTTATTTCATTTAATTTCACCATGCTTTGCCAACTTTATAGCGTCTTTCCTTAAAAAAATATAAATAACAATACGAAAAGTTTATTCGCGTTCCACTATGGATCACAAACAAGCTAGCACTCATTTTCAAGATAGTCATGAGGTCGAGCCGAACACGTTTTCTTAAATAGCTAAATCTATTACCTATATGATACCTCGTCCGAAGAGCTATATTCAAAAAATAAAGTGCGTGACACTACAACATCATTGGTTCATAGGGCACCTTTTAGGGCTGATTTTAAGTACAATCGGATTGTGAGCACGGATCCATTCCGCTAATGCCCGAGTCATTTCAGGGTTAAACACTGAGCTTTGAGGGCGCTAAAATGATGCACTTGATAATAAACTTTATAAGTGATTGTTCATTTCGTATTTTTCGCCTTTCTTGAAAAGTGGCTTAACGATTGATTTTTTCAATATATTTGGGAAGGTACCTTCTTCAAAATACATATTAATTAAATAACATAGCGGTTGACATATGTAAGGTGCGGATAATTTAATTGCAGTTGTTGTTATGTTATCAAATCCTACTGCGTTATTATTCGAAATATTTCCATAGCATCAGTAGGTTTAAGGAATATTGTATGTATATTATTAGTCGTTACAGTTTTGTTTAATTTGTCAACATTATATTTAAAATTATTGTTATTTTGTCAAGTTTATATAAAAGTGATTAAATATGTCACTTATTTTCTTTGGGTCGTCATATATCCGATTATTTTTTATTATTCTGTCAATTTGTGTTTTCATATTTGGGTCGTCAATATTTTCATTAATAACCGCCCATGTGGCTTTACATTTATTTTTATTATTGTCAATATATTTCTTACTTTGTATCTGTCTCGATTTATATATACCCTTTTTAAGTATGGAACTATATGATTTATATTTTTTATTGAGTATTTTTCCGTTTGTTTTATTATATTGTTGACTAAGGTAGTAAAGTATCTTTTCATTATACAGGATTTTCTAATGCCCTTCGTCATCTTTTTATGGTTCCCTTTTTTAGTTGGCCTTTTTATTGTGTGTATTGGTAAGCAAAGATCAAAAAATAGTTTAAATAAATCATGAAATTCAACAAACGCCTCTTGTAAGTAATTTTTTTCGTATACAGTTGAGAAAGTAAGAGACGATATGCAGCTACAGAACTTGTCCATGTTTTCTTTACTATAATCTCTGACATCCTCATACCAACTGCATGTTTCATATGATTTAGTCATTTTGAGCGAAAGAGTTTGTCCCGTTTCGTGATCAGATAAGGCCAGGTGATGTATAGCACGCGTCACATAAAAAGAACGCTGAAAGAAAGTGGTGGGAGTGTGTTTGCGCATGGATACAGTCTCGCACGAAAGTTATGTGCCTATTAATTTATTTTTTAACTAGGCTTTCACTCGCGGGTCGTGGCTTCGTACCTATATATTTGTTATTCTTATTAGTTATAACATTGAAAAATATATTAGATAAAATATCAATAAAATGAATTAAAAACATGTTTGAATTATGTATTATAGAATGTTTAATCGAAATAAAATTAAAGTAATGTTGAAACTCCTTCCATTAAGTCATCATGCGTGACGTGAAAACCGGATGAGGACGCGGTGTTGGTGCTAGAAGTGGCCATTTCATCGTCGTCGCTGTCGTCACTCGAGCTTCCATCCTCATCTGAGTGGGAATCATGATCCCCTATGTGGATAGCAAATGTTTCTGTCATCATGTCCACCATATGATCCCTTTTACAGTAATCAGCCTCTATTTCTTTTACTTTCGTGCATAGCTTCCCCCATTCTGTTGCTCCCATTAAATTTACTTTTTCATGAATCAACTCAGTTATACGTGTCTGGTTCCAAGTTACATTTTTACAGGCAACATAACTTTTTATTTGGGACCAGGCCATTTCAATAGGATTCAGGTCCGGGTGATATGGGGGCAAACGAAGTACAGAATGTCCTGCTTCGTTCAAAATAGCATCGATATTAAATTTCTTAAATTTATCTTTGCATTTTTTTATTAAGTTGTACAACTCCGGCTTTAGCATGGTCTCTTCAAATTCAATACCTTTTTGACGAAGCCAGGTTTGCATGTCTGCTTTCTTTGAATTGGACGTTGGTGCAGCATCGAGTTGTTTATTGTGGTATGATGTGGTATATGTGGGTATCAGTTGAGTACGGAGCCACCGCTCGTAATTTTCAGAATTCATATTGTCATGGTAGTCGCCGCTTTTTGTACCGGCTTTAAACGTCAGTAAAGCATTCGGCACAAAACCTGCATCGCCACGCGCATGCACTATGACTAAGCGGCTACCTTTAGATACAGGTTTTTTAATGCCCTTGGTGGAACCGTCTGTCCAAGCATGGTGAGACGCATGGGAACTATCGACGTATGATTCGTCAGTGTAAATGATAGGTCTTACTTCCTCTCTATATTTTTTAATCTTTCTCAGATATTCAATTCTTCGAAATCGAATTTGTGACTGCTCAATTAAGATTTTTCTATTGGTTTCCGTTTTTTTCCATTTAAAACCCAAGTTTTTCAATACTCGCCTGAGACTTGCTGCAGATCCTTGGAAATGTATGTTATCCTGTAACTTCCTTTGCAACTTGCCTATGGTAGGCAATTCTTTTTCAGTAACGTGAAAATTATGGATCATTCTTTTTATAACACCATGGTCAAAGCTGTCAATGTCTGTTATTGGTTTTGTTTTTTTTCTTTTATTTTTGCCGGGAGTTCGGAAAACAGTAAGAAATTCCGAATCTTTTGAACCCTTTACTATTCGTCTCACTGTCGACTCGGAACATTTTGTTGCCTCTGCGGTCCGTTTCATACATTGTTTTAAATTATTAACTACATTATTATCAGCTTCCCTCTTCATAAAATAGTATACGTCATAAATCATTTTTCTCACTTCTCTATGTAAAACCATTTCGTAATTTAAAACTTTTGTGCGCGATGGTATTTTTAAAAGGAACGTAACGTGGATACTACGCGGGAAGCAAAGCTCAACTGATGAACCAATAGCGCATCGGTAAACATGCGGCGCATGGCTCACCCGCCCCGCGCCCTACCTCATACCACCAAGTAGACCGATAAATCGCCTATGCGCAGCTTGACCGCCAGCGTTCTTTTTACGTGACGCGTACTATACCTCGACTTTAACTTGCTTGATGATGCTTGCTAATTGATCTAGACATGACAATTGTCTTGTTGGTGTTTTAATGTGCAACTCAATGTTAATTTTTTTTAATATACTTTGTAACTCCTCACAACTCTTATTTGGTTTTAAGATGTCCAAGTTCCAATCACCGCAAAGAATAATTTTTTTATGCTTTTTAGTAAGTCTTGCTAGTAACTGTTTTAGCTTTTCAAGAAATATTTGTGGATTGCTATTAGGAGTTCTATATAAACAGATAATCGTAATCATATTTACTTCTACGCCACAACATTCAAAATTAAATTTACATGTCAAATCATTAATATTAGTCACGTTTTTATATTTCAAATTGTTATTTAACGAAACCTTGAAAGAACATATTCATTTAAATCCAGATTCTATAGAAGTGACCGAGGTAAAAAAATTAAAAGCGTATGTTAATTTTAATATTTTCCTTTTAAAAACTTTAGAAAGTAAATAATATGTCAATTTCTTATTATCTTAACCATAATGAATCATGTAAATTGTTTCAATCGGCATTTTAGCGCCCTTAACGGGCGATTAGCGGTGGCTGTGTCGCTTCTCTCATTACGGCGGGCCCTAATTGCGCCGCAATACGCGTATCAAAAGCGCCGCTTGGCTTTCATCTCGCCGCTTTACGCAGGCTGCGTGTAAGGTAAGTAAGCGGGCGGGCGCGGTTATGAGGGAAGAAGCAAGCGGTCAGATCTTAATAAAATTTATATAATCGCTCATCCAGTAGAACAATGATCTAATTACAAAAAAGGTGAAATTATTGTAAAATATATTAATATAAAATAATAATTACAAAAATACATTTTTATGTCTCAAGTTCCCGTTGTGGAAGTTCTCTTGATAGAAAAAACGACAGAACTGTTCCTACAGTAGACGACAGAATTATTCTTACAGTAGACGAAAGAATTGTTCTTACAGTAGTTTTCAATTGAGGGCGTGAATGTCTTCGTCAATTCTTGAAACCCTTCTCAATAATATCGAAAACGTAAATAAGTCGTTGTGCTATTGGATGAGCGGTTATGTTAATATTCACCTTCGAAGACGAGAGGATTTTTTACAACATTTCAACATCCATTGTTAACACTCGTAGTATTGAATTAAAAATTATTTTGAGCCGCGTTATAAAAACATTCTACTAATATATTATATTGCTAATTAATAGAATCAGGCGTTACTTTGCGGATATTATAACTTTATAAGATAAATTTATAATATCCGTACTTTCCCGTACCTTATTATTTATTCGCTTTTATTCTTTTATATAATTTATATTTTAAAGAGAATAGAATAGAATAATATTTATTTAAGAATACTTGTTGAAAGTCATTAAAATGTTTACCACTGGTTCGGAGAAAACCAGCTCTGTGAACTTGGAACCCGAACTAAATAAAATAAAAAAAATAAAACTTGATTCGTGTACTACAAACAACGCAGGTGATTGTATTAACCTTTATTCGTTTGTAGTCTTATAAAATCTTAAGAAAATCACAAAAAGTTAAAAATTTTCATGAAATATGCAAATTTTCAAAAAATCTTGATTGTCATTGCATTCAACATCGTTTGTAGTATATTGTAATAACCTTTATTCGTTTGTAGTCCTAAAAAAACTTCTTAAGAAATCACAAAAAGTTGAAAATTTTCATGAAATATGCAAATTATCGAAAAATCTTGCTTGTCATTGCATTCAGCATCGTTTCTAGGATATTGTAATAACCTTTATTCGTTTGTAGTCCTAAAAAAAACTTCTTAAGAAATCACAAAAAGTTGTAAATTTTCATGAAATATGCAAATTTTCAAAAAATCTTGATTGTCATTGCATTCAGCATCGTTTGTAGGATATTGTAATAACATTTATTCGTTTGTAGTCCTAAAAAAACTTCTTAAGAAAACACAAAAAGTTGTAAATTTTCATGAAATATGCAAATTTTCAAAAAAATCTTGATTGTCATTGCATTCAGCATCGTTTGTAGTATATTGTAATAACCTTTATTCGTTTGTAGTCCTAAAAAAACTTCTTAAGAAATCACAAAAAGTTAAAAATTTTCATGAAATATGCAAAATTTCAAAAAAATCTTGATTTTCATTGCATTCAACATTGTTTGTAGTATATTGTAATAACCTTTATTCGTTTGTAGTCCTAAAAAATCTTATGAAAATCACAAAAAGTTAAAAATTTTCATGAAATATGCAAATTATCGTAAAATCTTGCTTGTCATAGCATTCAGCATCGTTTGTAGGAGATCGTAATAACCTTTATTCGTTTGTAGTCCTAAAAATCTTATGAAAATCACAAAAAGTTAAAAATTTTCATGAAATATGAAAATTTTCGAAATGTCTTAATTGTCATTGCATTCAGCATCGTTTGTAGGAGATTGTTATAACTTTTATTCGTTTGTAGTCCTAAAAAAACTTCTTAAAAAATCACAAAAAGTTGTAATTTTTCATTAAATATGCAAAATTTCGAAAAATTTGATTACCAATGCATTTAGCATCGTTTGTAGATAATTGTAACACTAAAAGAACATTGTAGATTTAAAAAATTAAAATTAATACGTATTCTACAAACAACGCGCAGGTTATTGAAATATCCTGTATTCGTTTGTAGTCTTAAAAATAGTACAGTACAGAACCATCTTTTTCTGGTTTCGATGATATTAGGGCTGTTAGCCAATGCGGTAAATCAGCTAGTAATTCGCTTGTTTAATTATCATAACATCATAATATCGATTCGATTGTTATTCGATTAATAATTTAGGATTAGCAATTTTCATAAGATTTTTTGGGACTACAAACGAATAAAGGTTAATACAATCTCCTACAAACGATGCTGAATGCATTGCCAATCAAGGTTTTTCGAAAATTTGCATATTTCATGAAAAATTACAACGTTTTGTGATTTCTTAAGAAGTTTTTTTAGGACTACAAACGAATAAAGGTTAATACAATCTCCGACAAACGATGCTGAATGCATTGACAATCAAGATTTTTTGAAAATTTGCAATTTTTGTGATTTCTTAAGAAGTTTTTTTAGGACTACAAAAGAATTAAGGATATAACAATATCCTACAAACGATGCTGAATACAATGACAAGCAAGATTTTTTTGAAAATTTGCATATTTCATGACAATTTACAACTTTTTGTGATTTCTTAAGAAGTTTTTTTAGGACTACAAACGAATAAAGGTTATTACAATATACTACAAACGATTCTGAATGCAACGACAAGCAAGATTTTTCGATAATTTGCATATTTCATGAAAATTTTCAACTTTTTGTGATTTTCATAAGATTTTTTAGGACTACAAACGAATAAAAGTGATTACAATATACTACAAACGATGCTGAATGCAATGACAATCAAGATTTTTTGAAAATTTGCATATTTCATGAAAATTTTCAACTTTTTATGATTTTCATAAGATTTTTTAGGACTACAAACGAATAAAGGTTATTACAATATCCTACAAACGATGCTGAATGCAATGACAAGCAAGATTTTTCGATAATTTGCATATTTCATGAAAATTTTCAACTTTTTTGTGATTTTCATAAGATTTTTTGGACTACAAACGAATAAAGGTGATTACAATATACTACAAACGATGTTGAATGCAATGACAAGCAAGTTTTTTCGATAATT